TTGATCAATTTCAACTGAGAAAAAGTTTTATTGAGCAGTATAAAAGTCTAATAAATCTTGTATAATCAACATTTAATTTTAATTCGAAATCATCTATTCAGTTTTATTCAGATTTTAATTATTTAAGATATGATGTCTTAAACTAACAATAAAATCATGTTAATATTCTTTCGAAAATAAGTAATTTTTAACTTATATACTCTCGCCTAAAATTCAACAAACAGCTCATCTGACGTAGTACTAAACGAAAACAAAAGTTTGATCAATCAATTTTATATCTTATATAAAATAAATTTCGAATCAGGACATTATAAATCGTAAAAATGTTACTTGAGACAACCGTTGTTTTCTAATTATATTAAAATAAATTATAAAATGTTTCGCCTATATCTAACGGAAAATAGCCATTTTGAGGAACTTTATAATCGTAACATACGATAGTTGCTCAAAAAAGTGAAAACAAACATCGTCCAATTAAAAGCTTTCACATCATATTATGTTTGTCTATTTTATTAATGTAAAAGAATCCATTGATTACTCATATTCGTATCACTAAAAATTTGAGTACTCGCATTTCGGTCACCGGCAACTTGCGTACGAACCTTTCGAATACTCGCAATTGCATTACTCATATTTCGATCACCTACCTACACTGAATATAAACGATATGCGTTAGATAGACGAACGAAAAAGAAAAATATGAAGTATTGCTTCCATTCTATTGCCTGCTTTTTCAATGAGAAAAAAAAGAAAAAGACAAAATGAAAAATAAACATCGTCTATATCATTAATGTAAGAGAACTGATCAATTACTCACATTTCGATTTTCTACCTACAGTGAATATACGCGATATGCGTTACACACCAAAATAAAAATAAAAATATACATTATTCAGTCTATTTTGTTGCTTGCGTCTTTTCTCAATGATATAAAAGAAAAAAAATGATAAAAAGAAAAGGATATTTTATGCATGAATACAAGAGATAGACGTTTAGAACGAAAGAAAAAAAAATATGCATTATCGTTTCTACTCTGTTGCTTGCTTATTTTTTTCATGACATAAAACAAAAAATGATAAAATAAATGTACATTTCATGCCTCAATAAATCGTATGTACAAAAAATATTAAAACGAGTGCTCTTCACATATTCGTTTAGTTGCTTAATTTTCTTTATATTTAAAACACGTATATTCGATTATTCCTCTACGATTTCTATTGCGCTTGGATATTATTTCACGGTAAGTACTTCTATATTACTTGTATTTAGTTTATACCATTCAAACGATATCATTCATATCCAGAACTGTTGCTCTCCTTAGATGTACTATAATTATACAAACAGCAATTGAGATTTTTCTAAATCTTCAAATATATCTGGTGACAGTACATACTAAACTTTCAGTCTACTAAAAACAAACGATTGCTCACAGATTTCATAAATAATCCAAAGACTTCCTGAACAAAAATACACATACGATATACAACCAACACTCTGAGCTCAACTAATTCTTAGTCTGCTTAGGTTGCGCGTCGACTTCTATTCGCGAATAGTTTACGGATATCAATCCGCGCCAGTCATCATCCTCAAAACAATCAACCAGCATTGCTCTTTCTACGAGCACTCATACCCTACCGGGCACCCTTCTCAACAGCACTAGTAATCTACATCACGCTGGCGATCAGCCACATTAATTATTCGACATCGTTCAAAACCCTATATAACAGTGTTATCAAAAGAATTCATCCCGCTTTTTAATAACGTTGAGCCT